TATGTTCCCTCACAATGCATAACCTTGAGATCTTTGAAATTGTGGGGCGATCGAGCAATGCCCTTTGTGAAGACCATCCTCATTATAAGGATGTACGTGTTGTGTACAGAAGCTTTAAACCCGATGGGTTTATTTTTGACAAATAAAGTAAGAAAAATAAAGCATGAAACAAATACTACAAGAATACAAAGATTTATGTGGTTCATCCCATAAGGCCTATATCCATGAGCATGGCAAACAGAAATCCACTATACCAATGAAAGTTACACCAAAGATTTTGAAACATAAAGTTACCTCTATTTCATCGACAAAACCAAGTCGAGCAAACCCTTTTAAATCACTCTCCCTTTCTTCTATTTACTTCTGGCAACAATTATCTTCAACACCAGATAGAGATGCGACAACAATGAGATACTAATATTCTCTCTAACTAAAAAGGAAGACCACCAAACAGTTTTTCTGCAAGAAACAAGCCTCTCAATCTCCGGGAGCCTAAAAAAGGCATCATCAATATTTCTCTCCATAGGAAACTTTCTTCTTTCTAAGAGGAAACCTTAATCTTATGAACATGAGGCCCTACCCCCTGTCTCTCTAAAGGGAACCACCATTCTTATAAGGTGACCTAAATATGACACACAAATTCTTTGCACTTTCATCCCATACATATAAATTAGGAATTCATACTAAATAAGAAATTTTCTATAGATCTTACATATATCTCAAAATCAAAAGATATATCCAAGAGTCCTAATCCTTTTGGATTTCTATTTCATTTAGGAAACTTATCAATATCAATCTCAATCCCACATAATATGAGATTTCCTTAAGTGGGTGATTTTGGATATCACCAAATCCAACAATCTTCACATTGATATCAAATCATCTGCTCACCATGCTAACGTACATTGGATAGCTTCATAAATTTTTCATCTTTTGCCAAATAAATTTTTTCATCATTCTTGCTGAAAAATAATGCTTGCCATCAAATTTTTCTACCTCGAAACTTACATTCGAAATCTTTACTGTCATACCGAAAACCCCAAAACTGGCTCTGATACCACTTGTAGTACGCGGAAGCTCTAAACCTGACGGGTTGATTTTTTAGCAAATAAAGTAAATAAAATATGAAATACGTACCACAAGAACACAAATATTTACGTGGTTCGCTGCAGAAGGGCTACATCTAGGGGTACAACAAACTGATATACACTATACCAATGAAAGTTACATAAAAGATTTTGGAACATAGAGTTACCGTTATAACATCGACAAAACCAAGTCGAGCAAACTCGTTTAAACCACTCTCCCTTCCTTCTCTTTACTTTTGACAACAACAGATAAAGATATTAGAGCAATGAGAAACTGACTTTCTTTCTAACTAAAAAGGGAAACCACCCAAATATCTATAAGAACCACTTCTCTACAAGAAACAAACATCTCAATCTTCGGGAGCTTAAAAAAGGCATAATCAATGTTTCTCTCTAGATAAAGCTTTTTCTCTCTAAGAGGAAACCTTAGTCTTATGCACAAGAGGCCTACTCCCTCTCTCTCTAGAGGAAACCACCATTCCTATAAAGTGACCCAAATAGAGCACACAAATTCTTTACACTTTTATCCTTTATGTATAAAATTAGGAATCTATAATAAATAAAAAATTTCCAATAGATATTATATATATCTCAAAACCAAGAGATATATCCAAGAGTCCTAATCCTTTTAGATATCTATTTCATTTAGAAAACTTATCAATATCAATCTCAATCCCACATAATATGGGTTTTCTTTATGTGAGTAATTTTGGATAGTTCCAAATCCAACAATTCGTTATGCGTATTCACCTTTGGCTCAAAGCAATGGGCAGCTCGAACACCAACACATATGTCTTCCAACTTTGGCAACTGAATAAGCTCCAAGTCCTTTAAGCATTAAAATGCATCCTCTTTTGCCTCCTCTCCGGACATCACTCTCTAAGTCTTCACAAAATTTAACAGAAAGGAAGTTTAAGATACGAGTGTGGACACGTGTGAAGCCCTTCCAGGTTTCGACATTCAAAAGTGATACGCTCCTAGACTCTACAAGGGCGATCAGGGAATCAGTTGTAATGCTGCAATACTGTAATTTCAAGACCAGTATCCTCCAAGCTTAAGGTACTAAGTACTAAGCCATGGGAAATGAGGATCCATCCATAAACTCAGAGGTAAGAACAATTAAATGGGTCAAGTGTGTCAACTCCCATATGCTTAGCCCACTCCCTTCTCTCGTACCATCCAAGTTTCATAATATTCCAAGCCCATGTTCCATAGAGTTCCGAAAATCGACTCAGACCAAAGTACAGTCGTAGGG